AGCCAAACACATAACACTGCGAGCGCACTGTAAAAACTGGTGAAAAAAAAAAAAAAATTTCGTTAGCCCGAATATCGTGCTTTCTTTGAGAAAACATGTACTCGCGACGAATCGGTGAGATTCGAGTGTGGTCTGTGGCTGAATTTTTCGAGGTGGTATGTTTACACGACGAATTGCCTTGTCGCGGCAAATAAGTAAAAAGATGGGAAAAAGAGAGAATCAAAGAGAGAGAGAGAGAGAAAAAGGGAGAAATGGAGACAGAGAGAAAAAAAAGAGCCATGCTTTTGAAACAGAAAATTAAGAGGATGGATCGAAATGAAAGACTTCGAGGAATTGCGTATTCTGCATTGTTGAAAATGTATTGAAATTTCTCGAAAACAAAGAGAGAGAATAAATATATGAAATCCGATTGGAGAGATATACAATATAAAGCAAATCGCGATTGTGAGAAGAGTTGCATGATAAAATATACCAGAATGTATAAATGTGCGGAAAAACGCATTCGGATATTTCTGTTGCACAATAATTGCAATATTCTCTATTTAAATAAATAAATCATTTTAATATGTAAATCTATAATATATTTTCAGAAAAAGCATCATCTCTCTCCTTCTCTCTCTCTCTCTCTCTCCCCGTGAGTTTAACGTATATATATATATATATATGTACACTTTCTATTCTATATGTTTTACTTTGATACTATTACTTATATAAATAAAAAAAAATACATATTCAACAATTTATGAAAAATTATCTATTTATTTAATTTTCATCGGTAAGTATAAATGGTCCAGGATGAGCGATTTTTATGAAGCAAGAGATCATTCGAATTCGTTTGCGGTTTCACCCGTATCGATATTGCTTCAGCATCGAAGCTGAGATTGCGGAGTGCGAAAGTAACGCGAGCAGAATCTGCGGCCAAGGTCATATATGGCCAATGAGATAATTTGTGGCATGTAACAGGAATGGTCGATAACCACCCCCTGCCTGCCGACGTGCCCTGGGACGCAATTCGAACGTATTCGCGTTCACTAATTAATATCAGATGAGCGTTTAATATATTTTGAGGCTTGGCTATTTACCTTCTGCGCTCTCATCTCGTCTAATCGAACGATTAGCGATGAAGAGATAATTTCAAAAATACACAACCTGATATAATTCTAATCAATAACCTGAATAAAAATCGTACATTGTACTACACATATTGTAAGAGTCATTGGACGAATTTATTACATCAAGAATGACGTTTCTTTATTTTTAAATAATAGTACGAAGGGAATGGAAATGAGACGCTCTAGTGACGCAATACGCGAGATGGATATGTCTGTATAATACACGTTTTCGTTGAGAAGTAAGATAACCGTGAAGACGCGTCAGCGAATATCTTTGTCATGCCGCTTATACTCCGCATGTTAATGATGTTCATGTAGCTATACATGCGTCGCTGTAGTGTCATCGCAATGAAATAGCGTTGCAACTAGCATGCAACCCGCTGGCTACGGTTATAATCTATAAACCAATATTTACATAGGGCTTTGGAATTGCAATAATAACGATTATACGCCAAGAGCGTTCTAGAAATCCACCTTCGTTAAATCTGTTACGATATTATTCCTAAACGATATATCTCTCAAGATTATCACACGGATTTACATTTTTTATCGCATGCATATGCAAATCTTCCGCAGTTACACAGATCGTGTATATAATAAACCCGGTAAAATAAACCCTCTGCATCGTACGCTCTCTATATGAGTGCGCGACGTTATGAAGTCTATAAAAAGGATCACATCCCCGCGAAAGGCTCACACGAGACCAACGAGAAAAAAAGGATCTTTGCGATAAGCCGCGACGTGAAATTGGAATTTACGAACCTATAATTTTCTGCGAGAAAGACCAAAGGAGCCGCGTTTGTAATCCGTTTAGGGTCGGCTCGCGGTGCCGTATGCCGGCCGTTCGCCGCAGAAACTAACGATTTCTCAACGACGACAGAATCATTAAAGAGGCAGTTAAGAGTTGTCACGAACATACGAACGATTTGCGATAGGTCAGTTAATGTGTAACCGCTGTTCTTGCAGTCAAGTAAAGCCCTTCTTGAGAGTAAAAATAACGCTTAAAAATACGATTATCATTTCATGACAAAAGATTAAATAATTATGCTAAATATATTATTAATTTAATTTACTCTATCTAATTTATTTAATGTTGGAAAATAAATATATATAATATCGTATATTTTAATAATCTATTGCGTCTCCGAAGGAAAATTATCCCCGATGCATTATCCAAGATACTCGAGAGTCCTGTTCCTATACATCGATGCGAGATGATTCTTTTACGGGACCCTTCGACAAATTGAATCGTTCGGTGATCTTACCTAGGCGCCATTGTCAGGAAGTAATTTGAGAAGGCGCTATCGATCCTATACCAAGAATGGAAGCTATGTATTCTCGGCGCTCGGCTTGAAAAGCATCCATTGCGCCCGCGATTCTTAGAAAGTCTCTAATTTTTTACGAAATTTCGATCGTTCTTGGATGCACGTTACATAGCAGCTGAAGTGGCCAAGAAGCGGAAAGTTTATTCGGTCAAGCATCACGGTTGTTTTGCGACCATCACCGTCGTATCATTTGTTCAAGGATTGCTTCGTCAGTATCGGCAAAACCGTAGTCCCGCGAAACCCCTTTATAAACCACAGATGCGCGGATCATGTATCACGTAACGTCCATACGTTGGACGAAAACGTGTCCTGGATTTACTATCGAAGATCTACCGCCTCCTCGAATTTTACATAACGGGTTTGTAAGCAAATATCGGCGGAAAATTTATGATAGAGGCTATGCCGTTTGTTTCGCAAACTTTTAATTTTCAGCATTAAGTATCTTGAGACAAAGGGAAGGAGGGGTAAGTCTTAATTTAATTTCTATTAAGACAATCGATCGCTCTAGCTCACCCTACAATCTGTCACACGAAGGAACGACGGTATAAGAAAAAGGTGGCGCGAAGCTCGTAAGAGTTGATGAGCTGTAAGGGTGAATGGAAAATGCGAGACGAGGATGTCTAAGAAGAGAATCTGAGAAAGAACGAGTAGATAAAAAGTACAATTGCCTGGACAACAAAACAGTGTCACAAACAGAATCGCTTGACAAACGATTTGCCGAGCAAGTTTTCACCGATTTCGCTACTATTATGTGTTTCCGATTGAAAAAGATGATGTCGCAATACTATGCACGCAATATTCGCACTAGCGCGAACTAAATTCGATATTAGCAAAGTCCAACAATCTCGAATAATAATCGAATAATTCGGCAATCGTGCAGCTGCGAGCGACGGCGACAATTCTCACCAGTAACTGCCTGTTGTCAATTTGTATAATTGTATAATGCAGATATGGATACTGTCGCGTGCACACGCTCCATGATTCAATAATGACTTCGTGTCGTGTACCGAGAATATAACGCAACACGTAGATGCAAGGGTTTACCGCTAATAGAACTACAGTTGAATTGTTATCACTGTAGCAAAAGAGAGGCTGCATACATTGTAAAAAAAAATTAAATTACGTAAATAATAAATGTAAAAATGCACAAAAAATAATGGAAATCTCATACATTTTTATTATTTTTGGTGCAATTTTTTAAATTATTATTCATGTAATATTGTTATTTTTTTGCGCATTTAAATTTGTCTCTGCATAAAAATTATATATATATTCTTTATAAGGATAATATTAAGATTTTTCAATTTGTGCATTTCTAATAGGATTTTACCGATCCATATTTCCGACTAATATTTCGAATATAGTACTGTTCAAAATTAAATTTTCTTTTAACATCCTGAAGCCAAACAGTTGCCGTAAGAAATGATGGAAGAACTTTCCGAGAACTTCAAAGACTTTTTTACAATCATACGCGATAAAGTCACATGCAGCATACTCAGCGGTATGCGCTGCAAAAATTACGTGAATTTACTCGAGTTTTAACTTGAAAGGTTGTAACTTGACTTAAATTTTTGAGTTCTAACTTGGAAGGTAATAATGTCGCCGAAAGTTTATCGAGGCAAAATAAAAAAGTGGGTTGTGCGGTACGCGCTTTGCGCGAAAATATCGTCGACGTGCAACATTATCGAGATGCAACGACGTCAATTAAGGTATCGAAATTGTATTACACCGATATACCTTTATGGCATACGAAGTATGTAGCTACACGCTTCACGTAAAGTGGCTCGACGAAACGCAACACGATCGAATAGTATTGTACATGTTTCTTGGCTAAAAGTATGTTGCAGATCCGTAATGCATAGGATGCTTTGTGCATGTTAAAACTAGCATTATTCTTTGCATTTAATCCAGTTTTTTAAGAACGGGAAAATGAAGCTGCCCGATAGATGGCGGAACATAATCATACATAACAATCAATACATTGTTTAATAAAATTGTAATTTAACGCAAAAATATTGCCTTTGAATTTTCTTAAGAAAAAAAAAAGATCTTTTTACACGGCCAAACTAATATAAATAAAAAAATTCAATACACATTATACTTTAAGAAATGATAAAAAATATTTTCGAGTTGCCACACATGTCATTTGTAAAACCAATTTTTAAAATTAATAATCATTTTTTGAAATTATATTTTTAAAGATGGTCATATCCCTTTGATGAAAAAAACCCGCTATTAAAATGAATTCATCGATCTATGAGAAATAGTGTGTCATTAAAAATCATGCAAATTTAGAACGAAGAAATAATGTTATTAACTCTCCGATTTCCAATTTCGATTTATCCGAAAACCTAGCTTTGTAAAAAAAAAAAAAAAAGTTTTTACCGTATATTTGAAAATCACTTTTGTCCCATAATGGAACAATAATGGACTATCGCGCCTAGCTTGTGGCAGCGACTTTGTTCAAAATCCGACGAATAAGAGAAAATCACGTTGCTTTACAGTTAAAACGTTATCAAGTAAAGGGACAAATTGTCTATTTTTGCGGGGTTGCGCGAAACTCGGGAGACGGTCGCAGTAGAACGCCGTAGCGCGAGTCAGACATGCGCGCTCGGCGCAGGGCGGCGCGCGGCAGTGAAAGAGCTCGAGGGCGAAACCCACGTTTTAGTCTGTCGCGTGTGTTGCTACGGCACATATAGTATCACCTCGCCCTCGCCGCTGAGAGCTCTCGGTGCTTTGTGATTTGTAGGTGAGAGATGCCGTGAGAGGAGAGGAAGCGCACGCGAGAGTCGCGCGTGCATTCACGAGAGATCGTGCGCGAATTCCATGACATCGTCCACCTCATCGCAGGGCATCGCGAGATGATGATGAGGACGCGACGGGATGTTGTCGCGCGACGTCGTCAATCGTCACGGATCACCGCGTAAACCTAAATTCCGCTCGTAAAATTCCCCCGTTCACGTCATCACACGCGGATCTCAGTTCGACGTGCGTCCCGACACATCAGATTTAATCAGAACGTTTTCGACGAGAGATACAGTTGCAACCTGCGCGGGTAATCCGAATTGCAATTTATATATAATATTCATCTCGTTATAGAAATCTTCCGTACAGTTCGATATCGGCGATAAATCTCATCGTTGAGATCCACTCTCTCCCGAGACTAGCGATTCGATCTTACGAAAAATATCGCCGATTCGTGCAAGGTTTAACGCAAAAAAAAAAAGGTGTATACGCGATCTTATATCAACGCTATATTCGATTAGAATATGTCGCACAGGTCTTTGAAAAAGCACACGAGGGGAAAAGGTCGAGTACGCTGCGGCGACCGCACCGCTCCGATGCCCGAGAGATGACTATACTACTGCCGAGAAAACGATAAGCCTATTATCAGCCAGCTTTAAGTGACGCGAGATTGATCGCGTAAAAATAACCAGCGCGCGGCACAAAAAAAGAAAGAAAAAAAACGTTGGCGGGAATGCGCGCCAAGTACACTTTGCGACTGCGGCGGCGATTATATCGGTGCACCCATCGCACCTTTGCAGCGTAACTCGAGATTGACTTCCGGTCGACCGGTATGCGTCCCGCGTGGCCTCGCTACGCGTCGCGGATCGAAAATGCTCGCGGGTATCATCATCGTTGTGTCGAGTGATGACCATTGGCGAGCGAGTTGTCCGTAACAAGATCAGATGATGACGGATTCCCCGACACCATCGACCAGCAGACATCACGACGATAAATGCGACAAGCCCGAGAAAAGCGATAAGACGGTGTTCCTGGTAAGTGAATTGTAATCTTAACTGCAAGTCGCGGTCGCGGCGACAAACCTCCCGTGTCTTTCGCTGATGTAACTTTAACGAGCTCTCTCAACGTAATCGACTCGCAATGAATTTTTCACGCCATCGCGCCGTCGAAATCTTATTAATCTGCTGGGCAGGGAGTCACGTCGATATCGCTTTTAAAGACCCTCGCCGTTTGTTACCTTTCCGTTTCATCTTTTTACAAAAGATACGTAATAGATATTTAATGCTAAAATTTTCACGGTCAATAATTTGCCTGAACAATCAGATTTTGTTATGAATAATAGCGATTGGGGCTGGGAGTGATTAACGCGGCGTTATTTTTTAATTATCCAGTTCTATTCAATTGTAAATCACATCGGGCGAATAATAATTATTCGCGATGCAATCGATTCATAAACTATAGACGATACAGTCATTATCTCTGTCGTTTTCAATTATTTAATAATACTCTTCGAATGTCGAATTATGCGGCAAATATATTATTACACGATATACATTTGGACAAACGTAAACGAACTGAAATTGCTCAACGAGAGAGAAATATAACAATAACCGAGGGAACATATGTATAATGGAAATATATAATATACATGTATTTCGTACATCGCGAAGCACGTATTTGCCCGACGCTATTTCCGCGTATTCCCTGTTCGGACAATCGATGGATAACCGACTGCGAGTTTCGCTTTTCATGCGTTTCAGCAAATCCAGGACATAAACAGCCAGGTAGCGCAATTTCGGGATTTACTCATTAATATCGGACAACCGCGCGATTGTCCGGAACTACGAGAGAAAATACGAAGGCTACGTCGTAATTGCGTGGAGGCTTGCAAGAGCACCTCTCAGCTGGTACTGCCGCATGTGCAGAGGTGAGTTTAAATTTAGGAACAAGCCCAATTAATCAAAATCGTTTCAAAGATCGAACGATTCCGCAGAAATGAAAATCTGTGGTGTTATTCGCGAATTTTGTATGAAGATAATATCTCGTTAATACATGTATACTCGAACCTATTAATTCGATTTAATATACCAAACAAGCGATTCTAGATTCAAACGCTTAAACCATTCGTGCTCGATCAACGCGTTAATTCGTTCGGGAAATCGACTATATACATTTATTACGCGTTTAAGTCAATAAGAAAATTAACGCGCACTCGACCGTATATTCGTTTCCTTTCGCGCCATTTCTCCCCTTATACTTTTGCAAGGGTCGAGGCCTGCAATTTTTCCGGCAATAATAACGAGAACGGTCCTTTGACCTATGCAACGACCGCGCCAGAATGACGAAGAAAAGAAGCACGAATGTAAACCGTGAGATTAACGAGACCGACGTCGAAAATATAGGACAAGGTTCCGCCGTCCTAAACTCCGGATTCAAGCTAGTTTGCCACGACGAAAGAGAGGAAGGAAGAAAGAGATAGAGACAGAGAGAGAGAGAGAGAAAAAAAACTTTTCCTCGATTTCTTATCCATCGCTTCCGTCATCCCGTCGCACAATGCAGGTCACAGATAGATGCCACGGAACGACTGAACGCTCCAAGAATCATGGTCGTGAGAAAAGCGTCACGTGCCGTTTCATTCGTCCCGCACTTCTCCGTCACCTCTTCGATAACTTTCATTCCGTAAGTTTACCGGGCGCGCCACGGGGTGCCCTTTATCACCGCAGGATTTCCGTCGTCATCCAGAACTTTTGATCGACTTTGTGATCATCTTCGTCGATAAGAATTTAATAAAATGTATTTCCGCGATGCAATCTCGATCGACAGATTTAATCGTTTCGTTTATCTCTCGTACACAATCTCATCACGTATATTATTATTTTCCACAATATTCATTTTTTTTTTTTTTATGTCGACGACTTTCGTCGAATCCAGTTGCTCAATTTCGATTTTACAACGATTCGCGGAAGACATCTGCTTAGAACGTTGTCGTAATGTCCGTAACGCGAGGATTTACGTAAAGTCAAATATATGCAAGTCGTGCGGCTGTGCCTCGTCCAATCTCGCTTGATCCAGGTCGCGGTAGTGCTCGCTCGGGGAAAGTTTGCTAGCTCTCGAGAGCCGGAGCTTACGACGTCGATCAAGTATTAATGCCGGGAGTATTGTGTTTCTCTTTGTTTGTGTTTTCGTGTCGTTTGCGCGACTTGTAACTTGCATGCAGCAAGAACGAACGTGCAAAAGTTCGCGCGACGTATTCCCGGCGTCTTTATGCGTTTCACAGTCCCGCGAAAATTGAAACGTTTGCAAATTTAAAATTCCCGACTTTGCGAACGTGCTTGATACACTCTCGGAATCGAACTCGAGCGACGACTGGATAAGCACTTGACAAGATACTCTGGACATGACAAATTGCCAATAAAATACGATAATAACGAATAAACAACGCTTGAAAACGCAATAACTCTGGAGTATATTTTTCAAATTAAATAAAATAATAATATTAAAAATTATATAAAAGAGAAAAAAGTGAATTTGACACAAAGCAAAAAAGAAGAGAGTCGTTTTAAATCCAGCCGAGACAATACAATTGAGAACACATATGCAAATGTGTGTATATGTTATCTTCTTGCGGGACAATCTCTCATGAATAATTTAATCGCCATAAAGAGTTCCGAGATGCACAGATACTGTACAATTTCCGCATCTTGATATATACAGTAGTCGCAAGACTCGCGTGCAATTGTATTTGAAACTGGAAAAGCACTACCAAAAGCTAGAGAGTCTCTTTCATATAATCGCAGATTAATATATAGGCGAAGCCGGCGGTGAACGACTATTCTTTTGATCTCTGAAAAAAAGGTCGCGCGAATAAAACATCGGCGTGTATTTTGCATAATCGATGCAGTTGCATGTTTCGGGGCGCACGAAATACTCGTGACGTTTGCACGAGAACGTAAATCGGACGATGTGTACGTAATATGTGATTGAATGTGCATGTAAAGGCAATCGATTGATTGTTATACCTCGCACTTCGAAAAAACTGCACGTGAATATGTAACATCGACAAAAACAGATAAAAAAGTTTATTACATTCTAAGATTCCTCTTTTCCTCTCCCTCTCTCTCTCTCTCTTTCTCTAATCTTTAAAAATACGAAATAAAAAGAAAATCTAAGAAAAACAATAATAATAGAGACGGACATTTTAGGAATAATTAATAAACACGATTCACATACAACGATAGAGTAATTTGCGCGAACAATCGAATCTCGTTGTGTTGCCGCAGCAGGTGCTATTAACGTAATCAAACGGGAGGAAATGCGAATGCTGGTCACGTAGTAACATTATTCCGGGCTCTAACTGGAGATAAACAGCACTGTAACGAGAAGCGGAAGGGGGTTGCGATAATTATCGTTCCGTAACGGCCACACGATGATCCGGCTTAAGCGAAGTAAATAAAATGATGCGTATGCACATGTGCGGCACGCGCGATAACTGTTCGACACGGCTATCTAATTAAACGTGTTGCTCATTGAAAATACCGTTGCACGCTCGGTATCTCATATTTAAGCGCTACAATTCAATTTCGCGGTAAATAATTATTTTCGCTCTGCAGAATCCAGTATACCAGATATTTTACATAATTATCCGGCATTAAGTCTTTACATTTTTCAGACACGGGTGTACGTATATATTTATAGCTACAAGCTCAATAAATAATATTAAGATAATTGATCAACTTTCGCGTCAAGTTTTAGTCGAGGAGAAACTCGGTGTATAAATTAATGAAGAAAATAAGATTATTCTAGCGTTTATTCGCGCATCTCACACAACTTGGCAATTCTTTATTTTCGCATTTAAATAATTCGATGATTAAGCTTGTCGAAATAATTGTTCGACGATGTGAGAATATAACATGCTTATCTTAATAATGTCTTATGCTGGATCATATATTTAACAATGTATGCTTAATGTTCATATGTATACAATATCATACACTTGTTTGTTCACTCAGACAGTGAGGATGTATAAAAAAAAAAAAAAATGTTGAAGACAAAAAACACAAAGAGTCGTAAAACATTTAGGTTTTTATTAAGGTGTGCAAAGCCCCGGAAGGAATTATTCAAAGGCAACTGAATGAGGATGGGAGAGAGAAGGAAAGAAAAAAAAAAGAGAAAGCAAAGAAAAAGGTAGGGAAAAAGAATCTGTAATTGCAAGTGGCGTTTTTTTACGAAATCTGCTCCTACCCTTGACTCATCTCCCTTAACTTTTTACGAGGAACTAATCTGTGAAATCGATAACTCTCTTTCCTTCGGGTGCAAATAGTTATACGGTAGAGGGGGGGGGGGGGGGGCTATACGAAAGGGGAAGGGAAAAACTATATAAACCAGAAGAGAGTTTGTTTGCAAAGAAATTTAAATTCCGACATATTGAAATCCGAACTCTTACTACGTAGTTTATTGCCGCCACAAAATGAGAGCGAGCAAAAGTAGACTCATCTTGTGTTATATTTCCCTTTTTGCATTTCTCATTATAATATAAAACTTTATCTCCTCAATATACAATATATGGCCAAGGAGTATATATTGTAATACGGGGATAAATAATAAAGAATATAATAGCTAATGTAAAAAGAAAAAAGAAATGGCGGAGGATCATTCGTCTTATTGTTAGTAAGAAGATAAGAAGCGGCCGCGAATATGCTTATAGATTGAGGTCGGTTGCCTTCGGTCGCGCCAATCTATTTCGCGCGTTAATTGGAATCTCATTAACCGGAAGCCAATCGAAATGGTTTCTGCATAAGGAGTACGTTCAATGCTGGACCGATGCGGTAATTGACGTAAAACGAGTTAATCAGAGTACTTGATTTTCCTGTGGCCTTTTACCGGCCACCCTCTTATGCCACGGGTCGACGTTATCGGATTATGTTTTGCGGCATACTATTACTTTGCGAAGGTATTACTTTAGAAATTTAAAGCAACGCATTCATTATTTAAAAAAAAACAATTTTGCGGAAAGGTGTAATATTCGCTCGACATACATTTACCGCTCGTTTATCCCTCCGTCTAAGATAATACATCATCAGAGCTAAAAATCGCCCGCACGGGATCACCCCAATGGGAAGTCTCATTCCGTCGTCCTTGAAAATTCTTACGTATATAACGCGAGCGCGTCGTTAATGCCGTGACGTTTTTATCCACCACGGTCGCAAATATCAGCGAAAAGAAAAAGCGAGAGAAAGATATACGCGACTAGAGAGGAGGAGAAGTGTTACTCATGGTTACACGTAAACACTTGAACACGTTTGCGAAAGGTGCGCGCGTTGAGGCCAGCACTAGTACATTGCGGTGGTCCTTTCGTTTAAGCAACAGTAATTATGTTTTTAATGTAATTAATTTGGCAAACCGCGCATCGCGTACGAAGGAAATCGGATTTATGGACTTTCTATTAAAATTTCATCCCCGACGCGAAAGGAAGTCGTTAAAGCAATGCGTATCTCTCGCTGTGCAATGCGATTTATTCTCGCTAGGTAACGTGATCTCTCGTAATTTTACTATCTCTCGTTTATTTCTTCTGGTCGATTCCGGTACTACATTCTGTAAAAAAATGCTCCCCTCCATCCTTCATTATTATTCCAAATAAGATTTGGAAATGGTAATAAAATTACATTTGATTTATACGCCTCGTATGTATAAATCGTATAAATTATTTCTAATCTCAGACACATCTGAGAATCTTTTGGAAATATATTATATATTTGATTACAGCGCTATGGACGTTGGAATACCGGTGGACAGTCCAAATTTAGTGCTATTATTTTACGTGGTACAACTATTTCTACGCGAACTGCACAAGAGCAAGAATCTTATACGAATCATACCCATGGATATGTCCGGATATTATGGTAAGTCATGCACGTTATATAAATGTTTTTCTTGGTATAATATAATCATCTTGAAATTTCTCAAAGCAAATACAAGAAAATACGAACAGAAATACCAGAGCACTTTATATAACTCTTTTTATAAATTGTTACAACTTGATGACTTTAATTTCAAGAAATAAGTGAGTATTTATCGATCAAAACAAAGTTTAATTTACATCATTTGTTTGTTCTCTATGCTTTTAATTTTAACTTTAAACATGAGAAACTTGTTTCAAATGTCTTTAGAACGTATAAAGGTATAGTTGGAATCGAGTCACACGTTATCGGTTTGCGAAGCATAACATTAAATCAATTTCTGCGGCCGCTTTGAGTCAAGGACCGGATAGATTGATTTACGGCATGTCTTTCATAGGGGGATCGTGACTCTCAAAACTATCGCATACAATTGTATTGAATGCCACTACGCATTCGATAAATTCTAATTTCTAATTCATGTATCATCTCTTACAATCGGGACACAGAGATCCAAATTCAATTTGTCCCACAATAGACCGAGATAAATAATGATAACTTTTATACGAGTGTTATCGCGTGTTAAATCAAATGTTCTTGTATACCTATTTGCCAACTACAAGTAAATTACGATAATAGAAGCTATCCGTCTCTTTTAAGAAAGCAAAACTTTTACCTCGGATAATTTACAACTATTTCCTTGATATTAGCGCTACAAGTTACTCCGAGTGCTCGTTTATTTCCCCCTCGACTGCACGTGCTAGAGTTCGTACAGATTTTTTTAAATCTCGTCGGAAAAAAAATGAGAAATATGATGCACTTTTATTAAAGCCACGCTATACAGAACATCGCATGTTATCATTGTAATAAAATACCGTGATTATTATTCCCCCTGGTTCTGTTTCGCTCTAAATATTTCGCATATTCGAAGAAGGAGACGTCGAGGGAATTAAATGACATCGTCAAAATTTAACGACACAGTTTTCGTTATCGCGTTACAGAGAGCCGCGCTGGTCCCTCGTATATCGGCAATGTGGTCTCGCAGATCCTCCTATGCAAACAGATCAGGCCGGATTTCAACGAGGAGGAGCTCTGCAGCATCCGAAAGGACTCGGAAGAGATCGGTCAGCTGATATCGGAGCTACAAGAATTCATGCCTCAATCCGAAGCTGACACGGGTACAATTTCGCCGATATCTTTTTGCTCGTATCTCGAGGCCTTTGCCTAGCCAATAATAATTTTCCTCACAAATATATCAATCGCGGCTCTTACAAGGCAAATTTATCTCATATATACATACACAGACACATATACACGTAGGCAATTTACATAGCAAAAATAGAATTTATAACTATTCTTTCATCTCTCTGCTCTTTTTATTCACGCTTCCCAAAATTGGGTAAATGTCGACTTTTATTCGCACAACGACGTTGCGAGGAGTATACTAATAATAGAAAAAAATGTATAGATGAAATAAATAGATTGGAAAGACTCGATCTTGAAACGAGACACGAAATGAGATACGGAATAATGTAGTAGATCGCTATAATAATATACAAAACGGAAGAGAAATTATGGATTTTACGAGCATATCATTAATGCGTGCACGGCACAACGTAGGATCGCGTCGATAGTGGACGCGAGAGAGAACGCCCCGTCCGACCTTAGATAATATACGGGTCAAGGACGATTCATTCTGCAAAATCCGTTTGTCTGACCTGCATCCCCCGCGGTCCGTGAAGAAAGCGTGACGAGCGAAAGTGGCAAATGCCAGAGGGCAAAAATGCGAGGAGAGCGAGAAGAAGAGAGAATAGGGAGAAGGAAAAATACTGCTCGTCGGCCAACAAATCTAGACTGCCGTTCGTAAAACAATCTCGCCCGCTTGTTCGATAAATATTGCCTTCCATTGTGCTGCCGGCAGTTGACTTTAGCGCGAAACGAGAGGATGGAGGAAGGGGAGCGGGTGAGAGAGAAAGCGAAATGGATGAGACCAAGAGATGTGGTTTGAGCACAAATTAAACTACGCTCTTTCTCTTTCATAAATCAATGTGACGGGGAACAATAACGCAATGTTATATTCGAGATGATCGTAATATAATTAATGACATTCCTGTGGATCCGAAATATCCTATAAGCGCTTTAAATCTAAATGTTCTCGTAATAATGACAAATAAATGTGATATTCAACGAAAATGTGAGATACGATCGCTGAGAAGTCTCCCCTAATACATAGCAGTCAATATTTTATCTCGAACAAGAACGTAAAAATTTCGGGCAAAACGAAAAAAATAATCATTACGATCAATCGCTGCGCGCAATTTAAACGAGGAGAGCTATGACCACTGTTGTCTTTTTTTTTTTTCTAATACAAAAATTAAAGTAAATTAAATACTAGGGTGAAAAATTAAAGTGAAAAAATATCTCTCTTTTTAAAATTTGCACGTAAAATTTGTCACGTTTACGATAAAGATAGGAAGCGCGCAATCTACATTTATTATATGTGTACGAACCAGATTAAAACGAATGTGAGAGAAGGAAAAGCACATATGACATGCAATCCAGGATTTATGGAAACAATATCGCGCGATGAACGTTTTCATATCTTTCTCATCTACATTCAAGTTGCAAATTTGTCAATGGCTGAAAACAATGTTGTACATTTTTTATCGTAAAGAGGACGCGTCATATTTTTGATATAGAAAATTTTAGTTTGTTAAATATTATAATTAGAATTGTATTATTAGCCAAAAGTTTTTTGGCCAATAGTGAACATGAAAACAACTGAAGAAACAAAAGAATGAACTGCTCACCGGAAATTTTTAATAGCTGCATCATTTTTTGCCGTAATTGAATAATTTTCGAACGAATCGAAGTGTAAATAAAGCATTAAAGTATGTGCATATTTAAACCCGAATGAAATTTTGTTCGTTAAAAGTTTGTTTTCATCAAATTAGTCGATAAGAATGCTGCAATGCAGATGATTTTCTGACAAAAAAAAAAAAAATCTGGAAATATAGTTGCTTTTTTTTTATTTGGGTTGCATAATGATTTTGGTTTGATGGGATTAAATTTTAATCGATCTTGATGCGCGTCGTTGTAAGAGAGGGAGCATTATTTTGCAAACGTATTCGCGGCTAAATTAGTAATTAATAGTCGGAGGGGCTGGCACGGTGCGCGCAAGGTCGGGACTGTGCAACCCAGCTTCCGAGGCGCGGCAGGCAAGGGACAAACGTCAAATGGCGCAACGAGACCGCGCGGACACGGCTCGGTTATCGAGAGGAAAAGCAGCAGCGTTTGACACGAAACGTGATACAGGTCAAGGTCACGAGTCGGCAAGGGACAAACGTCAAATGGCGCAACGAGACCGCGCGGACACGGCTCGGTTATCGAGAGGAAAAGCAGCAGCGTTTGACACGAAACGTGATACAGGTCAAGGTCACGACGAGTTGGGCAAAATCGGGTTTTCGCTCGCGGGAGAAAATGAAGATCCCGGAAAGCGGAAAAACGAAAAAAAAAAAGGAAAAAAGACGCGGTCAACCGTCTGAGAGTATCGTGGCCCGAGAAGCATATCCGCGAGATAAAGAGTGCATTTTCCGCGAACGGAGAATCATTCGGCGAGCGATATACTTGTGAGATGGATTTGCAAATTTCGCGTACAATATTCGCGAAACAATCCCGCCGTCGCTGAGGAATGAGAATTCAACGAATAACTTCCGTTAGACAGAAACGCGATGCCAAGAAGCGGAATTGCCGCACGCCTCTTACCTGACTATTCCCACGGGTCGTTCCGTAACACAGCTACGTTGAATTAATCCGATACCAGTTAACGCAATATTCTTCGTTAAGGCCACACAATCCAATTTTTCTCTGACGCAAAACTGAGCAGGATCGTTGCATATTGTTCATCAATGGCCCGAAATTTTTCACGATTTCCCACAGTGAAGAATTTTCTCAATTATAATCTGTAATAAATTTTTATTGATTTATTAAATTTCTGTGATTATGCGTCATTTCGTTTCAACGACATACTCGAATGCATTCCGTGTATTCCGACAATCGAATTTTTGCATGACAAACGAAATTAATTTCGTAATATTTGAAAAGATAAATATAGTCGGTGAGATAACAAATAAAGAACTTATGTAACAATAAGCGGAATATGTTACACCCGCTATTTAGAATTAATACGAGCGTCGATATCCTCTCGTGAGTTACATCAAACCTCGCGAGATTATCCTTGTAGGCTTTCAATCTCACGCGGAATTTCAATATTACTGTCGCAACCGACAGGTGTTATCCGAGAAAATTCCGTCGATGGTATTGCAATTTATAGTGATCGTCACGTTGGAATTAAATCGTCCTTTCAACACAGTAGCTAAAGAAAAAAAAAAAAAGTGACCCTTTTCCCTTCATTCCTCGCATATTTCTCCAAGATTTGAAATATATTATATCTATCTTTTTTTTATAAAAAAAGGTACGGCTCTTATACAATATTGTTGTGATTCTTATTATATTATATTTTTTATGTTATAATATCCTTTTTTCTATTTAAATCTGCGAAAAATTTTAAATGTTTGAAACTTCCATACTTTTTTTAGGCAAAGGCATACAGGCCGCGATAAAATAATGACTATCTAAAGATATAAGATTCTCTCTCTCTGATTCTTCGCAGAGAAACCTGTGGCCCTTCATAGCGTTGGAAACAAAATCAATCGGAACAATGGAACACGAAGGATGCACCGATGGAGCAGCAACAGAGACCGACAATCGTCCTATTTCCGCAGCGGCTTTAGATTTTTATGCTGCGCCGCGAGCACTAATTATGTTTAACGTATAATTCGTTTTTATTGATTAAAAGATCATATATTTTCGATTATATGTGAAAATAATTACTATACACCGATACTTTTGCAATGATTCCGATTATACATCTCGTAAAATAACGTTGACGTTAACGGCACTTCGCTTCGTAAACGTATGAAAAAAAAGGTCCATTTGTAAAGTACTCATACTTCAAGTATTCTGTATATAATTATGCAATTATTTATTCCCGACAGAACTCAAAGTTGCGATTCTCTCTTATCAAAACTTTGATATATCACGTCTTTATTTTTATCGTAATTTTTGCTGGGTAAAACTTTTGATATTACGCGCGTTTATTAATCGTAATCTTTCAAAATTTTGCGATCTCTTTCTTTAATTCGTCATTGATAAACTCATCTCTTTTAGATCATGATTTATAAAAAATAGCAGATAACGATAAAATGTCAACAATAACGCCGGAAAAACACGTCGAGGCCTAATCGAGGCCTAAACCTATCCTACTTGAGAGATATCCTCGAAATAAACTTCTAACATATAGCTGGTGACAATCAAAGAGTAGGAGCTCGAGACTCCAATGCCGAAAGTTATTAGGAAGTCGCACCATAATGAACACGAGTTACGGACGGATGAGCACGAGGATAAAGAAAAGAGGGAATTTCAGCTTCACTTTTTACACTTCTCAGCAAGAATTCTAGTGGCACTTGATACTCTTCCCATTTTTTTGAACGCCCTTCTATGCTCTTCTCAGAATTCGCTGCCATACTAAATTTCCAAGTCGCGGAACAAAAGGCGCTCTAGTGCCATAGGGAGGAGGGAGGAGAAGCCCTTTATTCAAGTCCGCTAAAATCCTTTAATTAATCCTACTACTAACATTGTTCCAAATCTCATTTGAATCTCCCTAAATCATATTTCTTACGTTAAGTGCTAACGCGCCAATTCTCCCAATTTATCCCATTTAGATCTTTCAACGCTTGTGTTAATTTTAATCAAAGATTTCGACTCGAAATACTCATACTCGTAATCAAAGTTAGTTAATATTAATCAAATCCAAATCTTTAAATTCTATATGAGAAATCTAGACGCGAATATATTACATTCAAATATATAGAATCGTCAAAACAATGTGTCTATGTCAAGTCAAAGCGGTAGCGGTATATTGTGGAACAATTATGTCCTAGCATATTTACAAGTGAGTGGACCAACCTCGATCTATTTATAATGCGCGATGGGCACACACGCAATGTAGTCTTCTAGTATGCGTGTTTCGCATATATCATATAATACAGGATGTCCCAAAATCACCGAATGTTCCTCTAGTAGCAAATTCTTTGGCTAATTCGAAAACGATTTTTTTTTAGCGAAAATATCGAGATATCAATAATTTTTGAATTATAAACGATTAAAAAGAAAGGGCTTTTTACAAGCTAAAATTTGTAAAATTAAAAGATTAAAAAAACTATATTTTTTAGTTAATTTTAGTTGAAATAAAAAGAATTTTAATATTTGAGGCTTACGTGAGTTAAAGGTATATGATGGGAAAACTTGCGAAAAATGATGACCTCCTTTGATATTTTCGCTAACGAAAAATCGATTCAAAATTGGTCAGTCTGCTATTAAAAGGACATCTGATCTTCTATGCGTAGGGCATCCTACATATATATATAGATACTAGAAATTATTTACAAAGCAATACGTAGATATAGACACACACGCGCGCACATAATACACACATACACACATACATGTATACAGAATGTACGCAAAACTTGAGTGTTGTGTATACATTCATACATTTCCCGCATATGAAATATATACGACAGAATATACAATCGTTACATCGTGATTTTAACTCTAAACAGTATCGGCATTATTTGATAAAAATAAAACATCGTAGAAATCCTATTAAGATGTAATGATTATTTTTATCTCAAAAGATTGATGCGCTTTAATTTTCGTATTATAAATCCAGATGTGACATAATGCAAACTTGGAATATTTTTGTATATTCACATAAATAAAGCATTACCGTTTTGGATTAACAACCATACCTATATGATATTAGATATCACTAGCAAACATGGAGAAAAAAAAATTAATACTTTGAGAACATTACAACACACACACACACACACACGTATACAATTGTAATTTACGATCGTACGTATAATAATATAATAACGAAAAATATTTGAGATATTTTAAAATATACAAGTTATTTTGTTATATATCTTATCTCTCTCTTATCGAGCGTGTATTCTTATAAATCTTTCTTACACAAGTATCGCGCACCTTTGATTCTTTCCTACGTTAATGATTAGGTTCATAAAAAGTGATATGTGATATTTTGAGCGTTTTATGGTAACTCGATTAAGTTGTCATGTATGTAAATTAGATTAGAAAACTATACTTGTATACAATAGAGCGACTATTTTATATAAACATTGCGAAAAGGCAGCCATCGGCTGTGAATCATGCACGGAAATGATTACAATGTATATCTCGTTCTTCTCCTAAAATCTAACAATAAGTATAATGCGAGAAAGATTGTATGTTCGATTAAATTACACATATCAATTATGATATCGAGCGAATTCACCAAATCGTTTACCTGATAATCGTTAATCTTCGGATAGCAAAAGACCGATCGTGTAAAAAGTATCGAGGCGGAAAAATTGGCGCAGATTGTAAACTATTTATCGATGTGTATCAAACAGATAAATCGATTCGAATCGTTTCTTCGAGAAGAAAAGGTTGTCTTAAAGGCTCTCGATGTGGAATTTATTCTCGCGGACAATTGTTACATCTCGAATTAGCGATTCGATTATTTCTGCGTTCATTTAATCCAGAACTGGAAAGTTTCGGGCCGATTTTCGTATAGTTGATACCCATTCTACCTCCCCCAGAGTTTATTAAAGGAACACTATTCTAGCGAGAGGAAGCAATGGGTATTAGTTACAATTGAAAATTGATCCGAAAATTGAATTCTCAGCTCTGATTTAATCCTACCACGATGTGAAAAGGGGACCGAACTATTCGAATATTTTACTCGTCGAATTTTTGTTGAGGGAACATTAAGGAACAAAGATATTAGCGCTGATACGTCGTATTTTAGACAGTAAGAGAGAAATTGTAAACATTAGAAACTAATTCAAACTCATAAGGTAACGCAAATGGCAAAATCAAATTGAGATATAATGTATATGATGTTGAAATAAATTTGAATCGTTCGAAGCGAACGGTAATAGTTACAATAATTAGTTAATTTGTAATAATTATATAAAATTGCATGATATCTATCGTGATAGTTAAATAGCGAAAATGAATCTCGACATGTATGAAAAAATAGACTGCCTTCCGAATAAGTTACCAAATATGAAAACATATTATATCTAAGAATGTAAAATTTGCATGCACTTACTATTGTAGTATCTCTTGTGCGAAAAATTGGACGTTGATTTTATTCTTCTTTACTTTTCCATCAACTGTGTTGTCCGTTATCGATATAATAATTGTAAAAATCTACTTCAACCGTAAAAACTATGCACTAGAACAAATAAAAATTAAAACTGCGTTATAAAATTACGATGTATTTTGTTGTGGAGATGAAATTGAGCGAGTACGATCTATTAATCTATATATAATCAGATAACAATTTGAAATTTGAATAGATTAAAACACACGACAGATAGGGCAATGTAATAACCGAATATAAGAGAAGAATTCATAATCTCGCGGTTTTGTATCCATATACGAAAAAACTTGCAGCAACATTCAAGCATATATAAAGAAAGCGACAAGGTAAGCTATATATAATATATTTAGCATCTTTTTTTGCTTTTTATTTTAAAGACTTTTTGACGGGTTTTGACGATTAATCTTATAACTTTCATGAATTTTAAAATATGAACGAGAATTTTTTAAGGCTTTTTTTTTTTTTGCTTTCAATGATATACGCTAAGGACAAATTGATTTAAAAATTAACATGATCGTTTTTCACGTGATTTGTCTGATAGGTGTTCGTATATTTCTCGAGTCAAGGTGAATATATTTTAGGTGTTTGCGGATGTGCATTGCATGCAAAATTAATTAAATACATATATGTAATACATACCATACGGACGTGTGCTGCGCGACGAGAATATCTATTCTAATCGAAACCTTCGTAATAAGCGATTCGAAGACGATCCGTATCCGTGATCCGTCCAGAGTGGCTGCGCGAATCCGATTGCTTCTGACGCCGACGCCGACGCCGACGCCACCATCTGAAATAAGTAAGTAAACGTGAAGAGCACAACAACATTAACGCGTTCGAAACGTGTGTATCTGAAACTCTTGTCATTTATCACTTGAAGCGACGTAAATGTGCGAGCCACGAATTTTCGCGAGTAAAACAACGGAGTTCCTCGCATTCCGAGCGTACTTCTCTCTCGCGCGAGAAAGTATATTCTGACTTTTATAGGTTATATACAGACGCCAATGAGTTTACCAATGTAAACTGACGTAAACAGATAGCGAGAGCGGATTCTCGTGTCTTCTCGGTCAGTCCTTGGAACGGCGAGCCTTATGTATTGGAATAGAACGACGACCGGTGCCGTACGAGAGGAAATGCCGTTAAGCTCGATAAGTCACGTCGCGAGTACTCCAACGGTGGAGAGTGTCAATCCTGGTACGAGCGCGCAAATCACATCGACCTGCTGTACTCCACCGCCGTCTTACCACAATATAAATTTGCCTCTCGGACATCCCTCCACATTGACCAACGAACGCGGCGCGCCACCCTCGTACGAGGAAGCGATAGATCCAAATGGTATCGTCTCCGATGTCTCTGTTCATTGTCATTGTTTTGCATCTCGTCGCTTGTTTGTAAACCGGAGGGGGTTTCTCTTTCAGCACCACCGCCGTCTTACGATTCCTTGTTTGGCCGTATGAGAGAAGCTCGTAAAATATCCAAAGGCATATTCGACTTTTTGAAAAATATCGTTTTCCTACTCTTGGGTACAAGTAAGTAACGCTTCAATGGAGCTTATCAAATCAGTATAGACAATATTGATTATATGTATTATGAATGAATTGAATTTTTCAGTTGGATGTACCATCATTCTTGGAGTAACGATAGTGGTACCAATTTGCATGATGGTGATCGGTGGACTGTATCTTTACGACTGTCCACAGGGTGAATACATTCCCGTATACTTGTTAGTAGGCGGTGGATTTGGAGTATTTAAACAATTGTTAACTTTGTCAGCTAGAGTACGACAACGTCAAGAGGAAAGAGACGAAGAAAGAATCAGACAATCGCCTACACAGACTTTGATCAATTGTTTTATGCTCGGATGGTTCATTATTGGTATACTGCATTATTATGACTTTTAATTGTAGCTTGTTATTAGATTCGCTAAATTGATTGTATCGGTTACTCGCGAGAATATTTGATAAATTGATTTCTTTTACAGGTTCCATGTGGGTATATAAGGAATACGAACCAAATTATGACCCAGCATTGGGAAAGTATTGCAACAAAACATTGTACTTATTCGCCTTTTGGCTGATCACGTCGGTCTACATATGCCTGGGAGTTATAACGGCCGGTCTGTGCAGTATTTCCGTAGCTAGCATCGCGTTTCAGAGACCACCGCCAGACTTGATGTGAGATCTCAATGTGGCTTAATCGCTTTGTATACATCTACGAAATGACACATCTAGGATCTTCCATATTTAAGATATACGATCGTATTTATCGATCATAAAGAAAAAATCCGTTACGGATACAAAGTATGGTTTTCCATCTCTCATGGAAACACCGTCCCTCCCCGATCCCCGATCGATAAATACGAAAAGAGAAGAGGTGCTGATTCTTTTAAAGATATTGGATATTAAATAGCTTCAAAGAGTTTAAATATGGATAGCTCCGATTTGTGTGTATATAAATACGGATATATACACGTTGTAAGCGGAAGAGAAATCTCATTTTTGGGAGCAAAGCGACGAAAAGTCACACTCGCTGAGGATGGCGCAACATCGCCCACAGAGTCGCTTCGCAAAGGGCGCAAAAATTTCGTCCATCTTTTACGTACCTGAGATGCTTAAACGACTATTTCGAAAGAAATCGTTGGCACGTTAAACGCACATAAAATACTCTCGCGTGCAAATGCGCGTGCACGGTACGCATTTTAAACAAGAGATCGTTCAAATGATTATTCATGACTAAACGCGACTATCCCCGTAATTATTCAATTTTTGTCGCGACATTGTATGAGAGAATCGGAGAAAATAATACGATACATCGAAGTCAGTTGTCTCTCGCTCTTGATAGCCTCTCGACGAAGGAATGAAGGGGAAGCGAGAGAAAGCAAAGTAAAACTTCGACCGGCTGTGTGTACATTTCGCGTATTACTCGCGAATTTTTTTATCTTGTGCCAAGTGGACGCGGAGTCGCAGACCAAAGTATTTTGTTATCACAAAGTGTTGCTCGCGTCAGTGCGCACTACGGTTTATAATTAAATTCGTTATAAACTTATCGTCCAGTTAGTGCAAACTCGCGGCGACTCGCATTACGCTTATACAGCGACGCTTTGGTACGACGGTCTAACATAATTTTACGATAAATAAATGTTAGTCATCGCACATCGTTCTCTCGATATACTTCTTATCTATGTTAAACACTTTACGGACTTGACTACATATAGCGTACGCATTTCGCTTGCTCGTAACTTATTGTTAAAAGACTGCGAACTTGTGCGTGACAATTTCTATATATTTATTCTGCCCTCTCTCCTCCGTCCTTTTATGCCTCTAATCTCCGTTGGACCTTTACGTCTCGATATGATTGCACGATTCGTTTTTCTATAAAAAAAAGTAAGTCGCACAACATGCGATCAAAAAAATACGATATACATATTTTTTTTGTTCGAAATGTCTCTTATAAGAACTATTAAAAAACGGCAGTATTCGTCAGTATTGTTTGAGCTTGCTATTTTTCCGGAAAAAAAAAATCAGCACGTTCCATCGCGTCGTGCAATACATGACGTAATGTTGACATGGTGAATTTTTGTGATTTATTAAACAATTGTATTACCGAGGTGTATTATTTTGTACATACTTATATACATATACATAATATTACCGTTCCTTTCCCTTTTACGTATGACTTTATCAACTTTCCGACTGAAATTTAGTCTTCCTCCCTCAGTCCTTACGTTTGTAAACGTAATTATTCTGAGTATAAAAAATAAGCATAGGATGTAGACGTAAATGTACGAATAAGTATATGGACCTAGACATGAAATATAATTGTGTCTGCGTCCTTTACAAACAGGCTTGCGCGCGCAACGGACAACAATAACCGAGCTAGTGCTTTTACAATTTCGCGTAAACATTTTAAAAAGATATGTATATAATTCGATCGTGTGCACTAATCACCGTACTCTGACTAACAAATTCGACACTTTGCACTAACAAATTGTAAATAATGTACGACATGTAGGACTCTATCGATCGAGCGAACATCGTATCTCTCTTGCGCATTTATTATAACTATTACAAATATTATAACGAGATTATATGATTTCCAACAGTGTAATAGTATTCCTACGTTTTACGTGGCAAGAACGTATGCACACACATACACACACACACACACACAAACACATATATTCGTTGTTATAATTTCTTAAATAAAGCGCTTAAAATCACGCACTTGCTTTTTTTATTTCATTTTGCATAATATGTATGGACATAGTTATATCAATTAATGTCATTTGATAACGATGCGAAGAGTACGGTAATAATGCATGGTAACTCGATTGACTATCGGCTCACAGCAATTTCAAAAATTTAAGGACTGTCGATGCGAAACGACGCTTCCTCCTGATAATATTCTTCGTGATCTCCTTCCGCATAATCTAAGTCCTGCTCGATCTTTGGCCAGATATCATCCTCGCTTTTATCAATCAAAGATTCCGTTGACGCCTATGTGAACGACGATATTATATCACAAGACGCACGTATTTTTTTTCTTTTTTTTCTTTTCTTTTTTTTTTGATATATACTTTACATTAGGTTTTATTCGAGCGCCGTAACCGGATACCGGTGATCTATGTCACAGCAATGAAAAGTGACATAAACATGGAAAAGAAAGACAGCTACCTCCGGATATCGTAATTCTATTAATGATTGACGGAAGTCTGGCGATGCGCTGGAAATAGCGACCGGATACTCCTCTAGTCCTCTTTCGCGCGCGCGTTTGGGACAAAGTGCGGTCGATTAAAATTCATTTTAATCCGGAAGAATCGTTTCCGTTTCCGATATGACGCAGACACGGTGGCATTAAGAAAATCCTCATCGAGAAGAGGCGACCGGATACAGAGCGCGAATTACCGTTTCGCGCTTTCCAATATTAATTCACATTTCGATATCATTTCGGACGAGACTGCGTCTATCATGCTCCGAGATTCTAAAATTCTCTTTTTTTTCCTCGTCGTAAATTTTATCGATTTGGAGGAGCGTCGCGCGCGATACGCGTTAAAACGACTCATTTAAATATGCGATATACTTGAAACGATTTGAATCCTCAATCAAAGACTAACGCGACTTACTTCTTCTTGCAAAGGTACTGCTTCTGGTGGCAATAACTCCGGATTGTAAGGTGTGATGCAACGGGCACGCCATACCGGCAGGATGCCCCTTGGGGAAAATGGTTCTTCTGTCATTGCTGCCTTGTCCCCGTCGCCTTTCTGTATCGTTATAATATAATAAGTTTGTTAAAGAACAATCACAGTTTTCCTATTACGTTTGCTGAGAAAGCTTTGCCATGGTAGCTTCTGTATCTATTTTGTAGATTACGGAAAAAAATTTATTATATATATATAATAAAAAACAAATTTTCCAACGATGAAGAATGGCATCTTGCTTAAATACGCATTCAGTCCGCATTTAATTTAGATAAGATAAAAAATTTCACCTCCACGATTGTATCCCTATACATCCAAGCCTGGTCATCATATACAGGATCTCTCGTATGTACGTAATGACCGTGTTGCATGCACAAGTTTTCGAAAGTGAAGCAACCGCGTCCGTATGGCTATAATCAATGTGCGGTAACGTTTCTCTTTAGTTCACTTGGTGCTTTTTCGAATGCATGTATCTTCTACACTTAGATCTTATTTAACGAAACGATCGCATTCTACTCGCGAAATTTGTAAATATACAACGCGTCAATTCCGATACATCGTGCGAATATTTTTTTTTCTATTTTTATTTCATATATTTCATGTACCAAATTCGACTTCCAAAAACCGTGGAAACGATGACGCTCGTGAACGAGTTGCCCAGGTCCTTGCATGCGATCGTCCATCCACGTGCCCATAAATTTCGTTCCTATATTAGCGTATAGGTACGTTCCCATACCGTGGCGAAGATTTTTCTTCCACGAGCCTTCGTAGATGTCATTATTCGCGTAATAATAAACGCCGAAACCGTGTCTCGCGTCGCGCTTCCATTCCCCTACAGATTAATATTCCTGTATAATTTTTACTTGTAATAGAAAATCGTATTTATTAATAATAAAGCGTTCGACTCGCTGAATCTGATGTGTCATCGGATCTTGGAGAATCTTATGGATTTGTCGCGATTCGTACGCGTTTCTTTTCTAGATTTCTGACGTGCGATATAAAAATAATTGTATGGATATACGCATGTGGAGACGCACGTATATCGCGACATGCCCGACTTCCTCGAGTCTGATTCGGATCCTATTTTTGTACATTCTTGCGGGTACCTTCGTATCGCGTTCCATCAGGGTACCAAAAGATCCCTTGACCGTATTTGCATCCGTGTCTCCAATCGCCGTTATACCGGGCACCATTTTTGAACGCGTAGACACCTTTACCGTATCTAAGCCCGTCACGATACTGGCCGACGTACAGATCGCCATTCGGCAGTAAAGCCTTTCCGTTACCGTGTCTCTCGCCATTCTCATTTCTCTCGCCTTCGTATACCTGCGATCATTCTCGTAGAAAGATCGTTACGCGCGAATGGCACGTTTTGACATATCGAACAAATCAGCGTATTACGCGACGCTAACACAACCTTTTTTTTCTAATCGATATAACGATTCTATTTGATAAATTTCTCCCATTACCCCGATTGGCTCAATCTCAGTCTCTCCATATTCGTCCGGATGCCGGTCTGACAATTCTTCCATTCTACGCGTATATATTGCTTTGTCACTCGCCCTCGCGTAAACCTGGCGTAATTCTAAATCAGTCTAAATATCGATCTTTGCATCCTAATCGATCTGCCGATTGTTCTTTTTTTATTGGCATAATGTATATGTATGTAGTACGTACAATATATATATGCAGAAAAAATTCGGTATTTGGTACGGCAATGTTATCGCACGTTGCATCATGTTCATCCGCAATGTGAATGACGGCAGCGAATCTTCATTGTAAATCGTCTCTATTTTGTAGAGGAAAATACCCTGTAACGATTCCTACACAATAATATCAAGAAATAAGATATAACAGAATTTGTAATTATGCGAGTTTATTGACATATACTTTTGCGAAATGGCTGATGATGAAACTTGTAAATATCATCCTCGTAATTGTATTCACGATGACTCTCATACTTGTTCTCTTGTGCAATCAAGAGTTGTCAATGATTATCAATAACAATGATATCGATAAACAATTTAATAATGAGTATTTGATCTCGTTTATCTCTCTCTTTCATCGGCCAGTAAGCAGACCAATTAACGCTTGCTTCTCCTTCTCTTTTTTCCGTACACTTTCCAGATTCCTCTGTTTCCAAGAGCTCTTTCGAAGTTTAATCGGACGCGATCCTACGTATCGTCCTGAAACAAATAATATGATTAGTCGATTATTCTGAAATTTTTTCAATAAATAGTTTCGCTGTCCTCTCGCCGTCATATATCGAGAATCCAACCCTAGTCTACCACGATCTGTTAAAAAAATACACATTGCGATTGTGCCTGTGTTATCATAAATATTCACATTTTAGCTAAATCAGAATCAGGAATATAGAATCTATTACGTCATATACAAATCCGATATCTGACAAGTGAGAACTTATTGTTAGTTCGCGATCGCTACATACAACACTGAAGCTTTACAACAATAATAATGTAATACTAGCAACAGAAAGCTAAGCTTATCGGCTTTCAGGCGGCAACAGGTGACAAACGATCACGTTTTCTCACGCCGTTTTCTTATCCGCCTAGTATGAATGTATGTACTCCGGAAAGAAGAAAACGAATAGGGGGAATCGATCCGTCCATTCGCGGATTATATTGCATATGCGCGTCATTCATTCCTTCTCAAATTCCCATTCACAATTTCGAATTTTCTACGACGAGTATCTTTCTTGGAAACGAGAGAGGATATCGATATCCGTAAAATTTAAGAACGTACAACTTAAATAACTGGTCAAGGATTCGTGTAATTAAAATTCAGAATGCGAGTTGCAATTCTTTCTTCTCTTCTTGCGATTCGTCTCGTGCCTGATAAAAATTCCGATGACGAATAATAAAAATGTAGTATAAATATCATAGGCGAAACGGGGGATCTCACGTTGTAATCATACAAACTTATTCATTCGTTTCCTAGCATTCACTCGCATTCACTCACGAATGAACTTTCCTCATATTTTTCCTTCCTTCGGACGTCGTTACGATGTGTTACGGCTCGACGATTATAAAGGAACACCCGACGAAATTTTCGATGGCGCACAAAGAACTTGAAAGCATTATAGAGTTGCGATCTAAAAAGCAACAGAAATTTCCGCCGTCATCGATCTCATCGCACAAAGTACACTATACATAATGTGTATACCATACATGGTATTTTATGCTACACGCGGTATCTAACATACTTTGTGTACCTTTCGTATCTTATATCCTTGAAGAACGTTTAAAAGCTAAACGCTATAAAATCAACAGTAACGCGAAAAAGGAAGCCGGCTCGTGCGTAACCCGTATATGCAGTTGCATCGAAATCCCGAGAGCGCGAGATAGTATTTGCGGGGCCAAAAATATCCATTCGAATAGCCGGGCATCAATGAGAAATTCCGCCAAAGAGAACGCATTACGTCGAAGGGGCTCATGACCTCGGTCCTCTCATTCTGCTTCTCTCTTTCGATCTCGATCGCCCACGCGTCGAACTCTTTGTCACTTTCTTGCAGCTTCTACACGGAGAAAATTTTACAATACAAATTACGTTTCAAAAAAGGAAAACATATTTCCTTTTACATTTTTTAAAGCTAGGAATATGACGACATTAGAGAATATTTATTACTATAAAAATAATAAATATTACGCATTTATTTTATTTTTTTTTAACGATTATGCATCAAAATATTTGATATAAATAATTACAATACTTCTTAAAAAATATAATACGTATATAATACGTATTATTAAATAAAAATATCGCGCGCGCGTCGTTTCTTTTATATGTTACCATGTTCCACAATTACAAAAATTATATTGTCATTTTTATTATAATATTTTCTCCGTGTAAATAATGCGAAACAAAGTCATTCTATCACGCTTCAAATTACTAAACTGCTCACAGGATGCAAATATTACAATAAAGTGTAATAAAATTTTATTATTACTTTCTCGTTTGCGCGCATTTTTTGCAAAAGTTGGATGCCGCACGTGTCACAAACATCGCATTTGCCGCACCGACCGTATCGCATCTCGATTCGAAAATATAAAAGAGATATCCTATTTCATTATCGTTTTTGAAATGTTATTTTTTGTTACTAATTTTACTTAAGCTATAATGTTAATATTAAAAGATTATGGAAAAATATTCGTGTGCTTTTCAATATGGGAATATAGAAAACGTTTAAACATCACTCAGTAGAAATTATTCGAGACAAAATCATAATCGAGAGGAGAACGTGGATCAGCTGTGTAAGTTTGATCAGCGTAGTGCGAGGTTGCACTTGCGAGCCATCGATTAGTCTCTGGTTCAGCAAGTACCTCAAGCACCACGAATCACATATCCATTCTATCGTTCATCATATCCAGAATTTCTCTTCTCGTGTATATTATTATATGTATATAAATATACATGTATGTATGTATGTGTATTATATACATACACGCGATATCCTCAACTTGGTATCGCGTTCACTCGCTCGTTCGTTCAAACTACTTGTTGCGTCTACTCGGTTTCGCGATATACCCCTAGTAACTAAATGCGAATCTCTTTCATTCTTCTCACTCTCTCTCTCTCTCTCTCTACTTTTATATATTTTTATTTTTTAGTATAAATAATATAAAATTTTTCTCTCTTCTCTCTATTATTTTATATATGAAATATTTTAAATATATATAATATTCTCTAGGATATTTTCAAATAAAAGAGAGAGACCTCGATTCCTTTGACATTATATGACAGGGGAACGCATTCCATGTTGCGCGATAAATCCTTCCACAAAATCCCACGTACTCGTCCGTGACTACGAAATTTCGACAAATTTTCATGCGTATCTTCATCACCGTATGAGTCACCGATCTTTCAAGCGCGCGCGAACATTTTATTATCGTACATTACAGGCATCGAAAATTGAGGGTATAGCTTGACAAATGACACTAAATATAAATATAAATAACACAATTTTACAACATTCCTTGCATACTCTCGTTTTGATCTTCGAGTCGTTTTGATCTTCGAGTCTGAAATATTCGAATGATTGTGCATAATCCGAAAAAATTGTATACACTTTGTATCTCGTTTTGTATTACATCGTTATAAATTTGATTATCAGCTGATTATCTTTAATGGAACACAATATTGAAATATATCTCGTATCTTTACTACTTTTTTCACGCATCGCGATTTTTTCGTATCGCAAAGGATAAATGTGTCACGATAATACTACATAAAACCAAATTTTTACTGTATTGTAATTTGTTAAATATATGTCATTATCTGCATTGTAATTATTGTAAGGTATTCAGGAGAGCTATTTGAAAATTTCAAATTGTTCTTTCAGAAATATTACTCGAAATAACATCTAGAAATTTAGATAATATACACTTGTGTAAATCACACAAGATATATAATGTCTAAAAGACCTACTGACTCGTTCTAATTCGTTCTGTCTGCGCGAGGAATCTGTCTGAAATGGTAAAGAAAAAAAGGGAAAATTCTATTGATAATGGTTACGATGATGATAATAACGATGGTGAGGACGATAATAAGCAAACAAAAAAAAAAAATAAAAAAGTGCTCGACTCGCGCGGCCCACCACGAGATTTTCGATTGGTTGTCGCAAAGAGGGGGTGGGGTGTTACGAGAATTCGTACTAGGAGGGTAGGGGTTGTTGAATGAGTAGCGGAACGCTCGGCTTTCCCTCGCACTTGGTCGCATCTACCCCAACGGTTAACCGGGAACCGGGTGTATAGTCAGTACGGTTCCGTCCCGAGTTCATTCCGAGAGTGTACGCGGAGGAAGTGGACGCGAAAATCGAACGAACGAACGAACGATCCACGCGTATCCCGAAAAGGTACTTTTTTCTATTCTTCCTATTCTTCAGTTACCTAAAAAACCAAGTATAAAATAAATTACAATTTTTCGCGAAACGCTATCTCATCGCCCGGGTACCAATCCCCGATATATATTTATTTTTCCGCGGATATTTCTTTTGGACTTTTATACTACAATTATATTACGTGCCTTCATCATCTAATCACAAATTATGAAGTTCTCACGATGACTCTCAAATGCATCTGTTCGAATCGTATAATATATATTAGCGAGAAAAAGTGATTTCTCTGTTGTCGCTACAATTACAAATTAATTTCACCATAATCACAATCTCAAAAAAAATTTTGCCAAAATATTTTGATGTATAGAGATGTGTTAATATACCATCGCGCGATAATTATATATAAAATATAGATGCGATAATGTGTATCATTACGTGATAAAGTATCATAAGTATTCAACCGTGTTGCATCGGTTTGATTTAATATTTTTGTATAACAAATTAATGCCTCCGCTCAGAGTTATTTGCTATAAAACTAGTAAGCATAAAATGGTTTCGCGTAGACAATCGACATGTATTTTTCGCGCCACATTGTGCTAATATATAAAAATGAAGACGAAAATATATGAAAGATGAATACGAACACAAACCATAAAAATAATTATAAACGTAATAAACAAATTATAATATTTAAAAATATAGAGTAACATCGCGACGAAAGAAAAAGAAACGCCGTAATTTAATGACACATCGCGTATACATCGCGTATCTCTTCACTCTCATAAAAATGTCATCGCGCACCTATGAAGCCGGATGTTTCGCGACGCTTTTCCGTCCTCTTTCGCTTAGACGTAACATTGAAAAGTAACATCTTTCTTCTCTATCGCAAGCTCGTTTAAGTTGCTGTCACGTCGTGTGTCGCACGCGAGTATGCGTGTGTACGTTTTAGCGTGGCGCTAAAATTAGGAACAACATTATATAAATAGTATCATCCGTTGCAGAAATTTCTCGGCAGAACGTAAACAGCATACTTTTCTGTCGACAAAGTCATCATTGTGAAATGATTAATCGAATTGAGCCTCTTCGGTTCTCTCATGGTGTATCACAAGCACGATATCAAAAAAACTTCCTTACACGTTCCTTGACATTACTTTCATCGTTAACGCCACTTTGAAAAGAATTCGAATGCTAAAATTATGCCAACATTCCCGGGGATGTTTCTTCGCGATGTTTGTCTCATCCATCTTTCAATAAAACTGGAAACAAAATATCACAGAAAGCGAACGGCCTACAACGAATTATTTATTTTAAAAGTGGGCTAAAAAAAGTACAATTTTTAGAAATAGATATATAAACAGATTGTGTGTGGTGGTTTATTTTAGTGAAATTTTCTTTCACTCTTGCATATGCTATTTATTTATATTTTATATTATAAGTTATATTTGTCTTATTTTACATCTTTTATTTTCAAATTAAATCGATCATATGCGGAGAATATGTTTATTGAATTTTCGCATAATCAGCTATATGAATTTATCTGTATTTTATTTTATTTTTTTAGGCAAAGGCGAGCGCAAACAAACGCAACTTTTCGTTAGCGCAGCGATATTACGACGATAATTGGAAATTGATTATACGACACGCTCAAGTGTCGCGAATACGAAATAATATCTAATCAAGAATGGAGATAATTTCTAGATTGCTTCTAATATTCACATTAAATATATTGTGCACAATGACCGGTTACGCAGCGCCATTATTAGATGCAAAGGACATTTGGGGCCAAAATGTTTTTGCACCTGTAATAAAGACAGCGTGTTCCTCCGATGGACAATGCTGGGGATGGTTACCGAAATCAGAAACATATGACAGCACTGTCATTGTATCCGAACAAGATAGCGATATCTCAAGGTGTGTACACATACGTACATAATTTTTTTTTCTTTCTCTCGTCAAATCGTATTTTGCGTACTTTACGCGCATACTTTTTACGATTAATTCATTAATAAAAATAACTGTGTGTCATACATTTTTAATAATCAATAATATTTTTATATGTCAAATGTCTTTTCGTATTTGGCAGATTGCAATCTCGGCGTCAAATTACAAACCCGGTATCCGAAATCATGTTAAGATCGTGGAAAGATAGCATGTCGGAAGAGGCAGGGCGAGAAGTTCGAGCGCCCTTGCCAATTAATAAACAAATACCGACTAAAATCATGAAAAAGGATGTATTTATGTCTCGTGGTTGGGGCGCCGGTGGCATGCCATTTTCCGTTTTGTATATGAATCCACGATCAAATCACGCAGTTACAACATCGAGTAAGCATTAACGCGGAAAGACATCTTTTAGTTTATTTTATTATAAAATAACGAAAAAAATAAAATATAATTTTTTCACAACAGCATCTCAACGACAAGAGTCCGGTATGACGACTGAAAGTTCGACGCCATTCGTAGAGCATCCTAATTCGCGCATCGCTCCACGAAACGGCCAATCTACCGTACAACCGAGAAGACAATATTGGACCATACCACAGCTTTTTATATCGTATGGTTGGGGCCCATTCGGGAAATAGGAACGAATAACGATGATATATTCAATATTAAAGTATCATCTTGACGAAAAAGAGAGAAGAGAGAAGAGAGAAATAAAGTAAAAAGAGAGAGAGAGAGAAAGAGAAAAAGAAAGACGCACTTTGCGATATATTTAAAAAATGTGCAAATACGTAACTCCTTAATACAATTACCAATATTTTGTTATAACTGTAATCAATTCGTTTTAATACCTGAGACTGTAATTTTTAGATTTCTCTTCATACAGTATTTTTTTTAGTATATCATCTCGCGCAATAAATTTGTATTTTTAAATTCTAAATATATTGCATTCACGTTAAGCGAGCGATAACACTTGAAAGTTATATGAAAATATCCGTTAAAAAAAATTTTGTGTCCAACACAAGCAATCTATAAAAAAAAATAAATACTTGACTTACCATTCATTTCCTTCATTGCCTTAATGAAATCTTGTGGATCTTTAAAGGACACAAATCCAAAACCTTTGGTTTTATTTGTCCGTTTATCTCTGACTACCTTTGCTTTTTGAAAACTAGGATATTTTCCAAATACTCTCACCAACATTTCATCAGTAACATCGTTTCCTAAATCCCCACAAAATATTCTGAAATCATCTGCAATACGAATATTGTTAGAACACAATTTTCTAAAAGAGAGTAGTAAGTAGTTTTTTTAGATAGACATGTTTGTGTTTATTATTAACCTTCATCCCAGTCTAGCAAAGAAGGATCTTCCCATGTTTGACCACCGGCTGTTCTTATAATCTTCTTATTTTTCTTTCCTTTACCCTTGGGATGACTCTCCTCCGCACTAGCATTAGCCATAATGGAACTTGCTTTTCCTTGACTAATAGCTAATTCAGCAGCTGTGCTGACACCCTTTACTTTTGGTTTCTTTTTACCCTCATCTTCAGGTATTTTTGTGTTAATAATTTGTTCAATAATTTCAGGATGGATCATTGGCGTTGATGTAGAATCGTATGTTTTTGGTGTTGCGCTTAGACATGGATCGACCATATTTGATATATATGGATTACTTATTTGTGCAGGTGAGGAATACGTTGTAATGGGAACTGTACCTGTAATAATTGTTGTTGTATTATTGTAAAAAAACTTCTATCGCATTATTCTTGGATATGTATGCAATTCTTACCTTGTCGCGCTACTTGTTGAGGAATTAACATTGGGGGAGGTGGAGGAGGTGGTGGAGGTGGTGGCGGTGGAGGAAATCCGATCATTGGAGGAAATGCCAATGTAGCTGCTGCAGCTGCCGCAACCACAGGTGTGGGAAGTTCATGTTGCTCCAATTGCCTAGCGACTTGACTATATGTATTTGCCCCAATCACTGGTCGTACAATTGGTGTTACAAGCTGCCCCCCGATTTCAGCTTCAAATCTATTCCATTTACATTTAAAGAATTTATCAAGTGCAAAATATGAAAAAAGCATATCACATGTTGTAATTTATGACTACACCGAATTGGCACATAAGCAGATATGTGCAGAATAAAGAAACTAATGAGAAATAAATAAAATTTAGATGAACTCGCATAATACCTCATAATCGCGAAAAGAAAATAGATTTAGAAGATAATACAACTTAATTCGAAATTAAGTCGCGTCATACCTGTTCATCTCATCTTCCATTTGCCGAAGTTTGTCGTCCATATTTGTAAGCTCTGTTGTTCACAAAACGCTTATACAAATCCTATCTCCTATCTATCTAACGCAAATTTGCGATAAGTTCGATAAATTAATACTTTCTTAATGAAACGATTGAAACAATAATAACTTTGATGTTACTTCGAATCGCTTAACCTAACACATTCACCTACTAAACACCCGCGCAGCACTAACGGCTGACTAACGCGCAGCTGTGCGCATTGGCTATTGCGCATCCCATGCGCAGGCAATATTGTAGATGGGCTTCCTTTTTCGCGCATGCGCATCTTATGGTATGAGGTCTTGTATAACCCCCGTTTTTTTTTTTTAATTATTTAGATATTAAAAATTAATTAAAAACATAAATAAAAACATGCCCGTTTAGAAGCCTATCCAAATGGATTTGCATAGTCGTATAAACGTATGCATAAGGAAATAAATTGGTCCGTTGAGCATCGTCTTGTCAACACTCGACGTTGATTTATTGGTTCTAGAAGTAAGAACCAATCACGTTCGATTACTACTCAACGGTTGTCTCCTGAACGCACCCATTACCCGTGGACGTAGATAAATGTGAATAAACGTTGGTGACGTTAGTATACAGATGAGCGCATTGAAGTTGAGGTTATAACGATTATTCACTCGCATTCGTTATGAAGGAAATTCTGTACCTGCTTTTTATTTTTGCTAATTTACGCGAACAATACGTAATTGCGGAACATGAAGAGGATGTGTCTACAGATCTATACGTAATCGAGGGAAAAGTATTTCCCTGGGACAACGCTGCTTCCAGTGGATGGCAGCTCATGACGCATGTAATGGCTAACGGTGGTGAACATTATGGCTTTTTGAGGTATGATTATAATTATATATATATTTCGGCAGATTTATTCGTTTTTATATTAATTATCGTTTTTATTAATCGAATACATTTTATCATTCTAGGGAAGATGGCACATTTATAATTTCGAATGTACCATCGGGATCGTACATGATCGAAGTGGTAAATCCAAATTATGTTTACGAACCAGTCAGGGTGGAAATTAATTCTAAAGGAAAATTCCGAGCTCGTAAAGTAAACTTGATACAAACATCGCAAGTGATTCAAGTACCTTATCCGTTGAAAATGAGGCCTTTAGCACCGTTCCGATACTTCCAAGTTAGAGAGCAATGGCGGATGACAGACTTCTTATTCAATCCTATGGTAACGAAACATATAACACATAAAACACATGTATTTTACTACTTTTGTTACAAATGTGGCATTTTCTTCTTTTTTTTCTTTTAGGTTTTAATGATGGTTTTGCCACTTGTACTGATTATGATCCTGCCAAAAATTATGAACGACCCTGAAACTAGAAAGGTAAAACCACATCTTATAAGATATGGAAAAGAATGATTAATGATGATAGTTTAATACTGTCTATATAAATTACTATGATCTATGTAATCTATTTGTTGACGAAGTCACAATCTATATTCATTTTGTAGGAAATGGAGCAATTAAATAATCTCACTATTTATAATATGCCAGAAATGTCTGAAGTGATAACATCTTTTCTTTCCGGAGGAGAGAAGCAAAAATCAAAAGCTGTAAAAGCTGCTAAGAAAAGACAATAATTGATCTATTTATTGTCTGTAGATGATTGTATGTACATGTTTACTCTAGTCGTTAAAATATATAAGGATATCGACAACAAAAGCAGGACACCCTTGGGAAAAAGAAAAATGTTCCGATTGCTTGAATATTGTGTAAGATTATGATGGTTAATGTACCAAGTCTTTAAACTACAAGTTTGAAAATGTCAATATATAATTAGTTTCTTGTAGTTTAATGATAGTAATTTGAAAAGTAATTTTGCATTTTGCTACATGTATGCAAACAAGGGAACGATAAAACATCAACAGTGTTTTAATTTACTATTAGTTCTGGTGCATAATTGTGTGCATATACTTGAACTCCAAGTTATGTAAGACGGTGAAGGAAATTTTATAGAATAAGTAGAAGAAAACTGATATATGATGTATAATATCAGTCACGACAATGATATGTATGTAATATAATTGTTTCACTTTATATGATAATGACAGTCTTGCTACTCTTTCTTACACTGATCCCTTGCTACGAGGGTTATATTAATTCTGTCTTATATAAAATATTGCAGTTTCCATACTGTTACAATTTTGTAAATCATAAAGAAACAAGTATTTGTAATATCATAAATAAATAACAACTGTATCAATCCACATTTTAGTTTCGTGATTGTTACAAGAGAATGAAACAACTATAAATGTTCCACTTGCAGTTACTCCACTGTCTTGTAATATTATTAATATCAATAATTATTTATATCTTGCATATGTTACATCTTATAAACAAATATATGGAATAATATGCACAAGAACAACAGATACAAAATATTTAAAAAGAAAAATCGAGATTGAACAACTGTAATAATGTATTTCTTTTTTTTCTTTTAAGATATTTCATGTCAGAAAAGACATCTCAAACTTTATCTTAAAAAAAATTTCATCTATCGAATTCAACTCAGAATTTTAATAAAAAAGCAGGAAATGCGAAAAAGTCTATTTTTTGGGGGCTCTTATTGTTAGATGTACATATATACGACATACGTGAAATTGTGATTTCCGAAACGCGGAAGTTTTCTATTATAATTATATTTTTCTATAGTTTTATAACCGTTAAAATGTTCCTTCAATTTCTAAAGATAAAATTTTAATTATTAGCAGCATTAATTAATTTTTTCATGATTATATGATCGCGTGATGATAGAGATACTGTCACCTAACAGGTTTTCGTAAAACGTCATGAAAAATAGCGATTTTCTTTGCAATATTAGTTTTATAGAATACTAGAACAACACAGGCGCGCGCTTCTTTTACGAACATTTCCCAACTTTTTTAACTTTTCTTTCCGTATATACATATATATAAATAACCGTTTATAGCCGAAAAAACACTTTTCGGTACATTTGAAATTAGTTATTAACTGGTTTATTCCAAAACCTATGGAGCGAACTACAATCATTTTGATCTCATTTGAAAGATAATTTAATTTTGAACAAAAAGTTTCCTATAAACATGGGCCGTAAAAAAAAACCTCTGAAATCACGATTATTTTATACATTTTTACAAATATCAGGGAAAGTATGCGTTTTTTAACAAAAAGTACCGAAACAAATGTTGTAGAGAATCAAATTATCTTCCAAATGAGATCAAAATGATTGTAGTTCGCTCCATAGGTTTTGAAATAAACCAGTTAATAACTAATTATATTCCGATACTAGTCGCGATCGCGTTTAGAAATAGAATTTAAAAATATACGAAGCGTTTTGTACCACCACGTTACTACTCGAGTGTCGCCGTACGAATGATAAGAAGACCATACATGTAAACAATAGGACCGCTAAAGCCGAATATTATGATATTGAAAAGTCAATGCCAAAATATTTTACGTATACTCTATTATCATATTATATGTATACGCGTAGAATATTAAAGTGTATAAAGTATATATTTTAAATTATGATTAATTATTTATTGAACGATTGATGTATCACGAAGCCTTTCGTTATGTTAATTACTCGATATTGCAATTCGATTATTTAATTGCGCGATCTTAATTCGGATCATATTTACATATCGTCGAAAGTCGAACGAAAAATGTCGAACAAAATATATTTAAGTTGAAATATTTTTGAAAAAATAATTATTGCTTATAAGGATCGCAATAAAACAATAATTCATAATTTTGATTTTTTCTGTCACTTCGATTCTTGATTAAATGTGTATATACGTCACGCGAAATGCACGCTTCGAAACCTATCATAGCAATATAATTATATTTAGTTATAATATTAAATTATAATTATTATTTAAGATATGTTAAAGATAACTAATTATTAATCTTATTAAATTATTTCCCGATACTTGTCGTGATCGCGTTTAGGAAAAAAATTTAAGTGTCTCGCACTGCTATTTTACTGCTCGAGTGTCGCCGTGCGAATGATAATACATAGGGAAGGAATTTGAACATCTCACCCCACTACAATTCTATTCAAGTGTCGCTGTATGAATGATAACAAAGCCGTGATACATAAACAATAGCGCGCCAATGTTTACGTCGTCAAAGCCGAAAATCATGTTAGGTATTGCTAATTCGCTGCCGAAATATTTAATGTACTATAAAATATATATGCGAAATATTAAATTATATTAATATTTTAAATTATCAATTATATATTAAAATTAAACGATTAATGTATCACGAAGCTTATCGTTATGTTAATTAATCGATTTCGCGATTCGATCGTTTTATATACATTCTTAATCCAAATTTATCTAGATTGTCGAAAAGTCAAATGATATAGCATCGTGGACAAAATATATTTGATTCTATTTGTTGTTAAAGAAGTAATTATTGTCCGTAAAGATCGCAACAAAACGATAATTTATAATTTGGTTTCCTATTACTTTAATTCTTATTTGATTAATGAATAAATTACGAAATATATGCGATTCGAGATCTTTCGTCGCGATATATATAATTACATATTATTTATAAATATTAATTATATTATAATAGTAAATAATTTCCCGATACTGATCGCGATCGCGTTTAGAGAATGAATTCGACGGAGCGTCTCGCAAATCTATTTTCCTGCTCGAGTGTTGTCGCGCGAATAATAACAGAGTCGAGATACGTAAATAATAGCGCGCCATTATTTACGCCGCGCAGCCAAGGCTAAACACATGGTTGATATTTCATTGCCGAAATATTTTACATACTATGACCATAGATATAATATATAGTATATAAACCGAGTATTAAGGAGTGGGGTTCGTCAAATATTAGATAGAGATAACATATACTTTGTATCACCATTCTGTCTTCGTCTTTTCATCTCCTCTACTTTTCTTTTCTTATTAACGACGGCTTCTTTATCTTACCACGCGTCATGGTATAACGACGTAACGACGACGTAAACATTGGCGCGCTATTGTTTATGTATCACGGCTTTGTTATCATTCTTACATCGACACTTGAATAGAATTGTAGTGGGGTGAGACGTTCAAATTCCTTCCCTATGTGTTATCATTCGCACGGCGGCACTCGAGCAGTAAAATAGCAGTGTGAGACACTTAAATTTCTTTCCTAAACGCGATCATGACAAGTATCGGGAAATAATTTAATAAGATTAATAATTAGTTATCTTTAACATATCTTAAATAATAAAGTTGTACAAGAGAAATAGAGCGTAGGACAAAATATCTTTAAATATTGAAAGAAAAATAATTATTGTTTGTAAGGATCGCAATAAAGCGATAATTTATAATTTAGGTTTCTGTCACTTCAATTCTTACTTTGAAAAAGAATCTTACTTGCATTTTGTCGGATTGAGAATAATTTTAATGAATTAATGAGATTTTTGCGACTAAAATGACATCAAACGCAATATAAATCAGATAATTTTTAGTTAAACTAATAATACAAATTTTGATCAGATATTTAACTAAAAATTATCCGGTTTATGTCATGTTTGGTATCAGTTTAATCACAAAAAAATCATTAATTCATTAAAATTATTTTTAAGTTAAATTATGATTAATTATTTATTGAACGATTGATGTATCACGAAGCCTTTCGTTATGTTAATTACTCGATATTGCAATTCGATTATTTAATTGCGCGATCTTAATTCGGATCATATTTACATATCGTCGAAAGTCGAACGAAAAATGTCGAACAAAATATATTTAAGTTGAAATATTTTTGAAAAAATAATTATTGCTTATAAGGATCGCAATAAAACAATAATTCATAATTTTGATTTTTTCTGTCACTTCGATTCTTGATTAAATGTGTATATACGTCACGCGAAATGCACGCTTCGAAACCTATCATAGCAATATAATTATATTTAGTTATAATATTAAATTATAATTATTATTTAAGATATGTTAAAGATAACTAATTATTAATCTTATTAAATTATTTCCCGATACTTGTCGTGATCGCGTTTAGGAAAGAAATTTTACGGAGTGTCTTGCACTGCTATTTTACTGTTCGAGTGTTGCCGTGTGAATCATATAACACATAGGAAATTTATACGCAGAATATTAAATTTAGGAGTATCTTAATTTATAGATTAATTATTTATTTAACGATTAACATATCACGAAGTCTTTCGTTATGCTAATTACTCGATCCTGCGATTCTATTGTTTAATTGTGCGTTTTCAATCCAAATTATAATTAAATAATCGAAAAGTTGTACAAGAGAAATAGAGCGTAGGACAAAATATCTTTAAATATTGAAAGAAAAATAATTATTGTTTGTAAGGATCGCAATAAAGCGATAATTTATAATTTAGGTTTCTGTCACTTCAATTCTTACTTTGAAAAAGAATCTTACTTGCATTTTGTCGGATTGAGAATAATTTTAATGAATTAATGAGATTTTTGCGACTAAAATGACATCAAACGCAATATAAATCAGATAATTTTTAGTTAAACTAATAATACAAATTTTGATCAGATATTTAACTAAAAATTATCCGGTTTATGTCATGTTTGGTATCAGTTTAATCACAAAAGTTCCTACTTGCATTTTATCGGTTTGAGAATAATTTTAATGAATTAATGAGATTTTTGCGACTAAAATGACATCAAACGCAATATAAATCAGATAATTTTTAGTTAAACTAATAATACAAATTTTGATCAGATATTTAACTAAAAATTATCCGGTTTATGTCATGTTTGGTATCAGTTTAATCACAAAAAAATCATTAATTCATTAAAATTATTTTTAAGCAGGCATAATATAAAAGTTTTATTTTCTATGGTAATATGACACATATATACTCGTAAAATACTATACCTATGTAAAGGAATAAGCTCCTCTCGCATATAAGAAACTTCAAGATTTTTTGACAATACGTCATCTCGCTTGCTCTTTACTCATTCTCGCTCTCGCTTTCGACGACATCGGAGACCTTTACTTATCTATAAAAATTTATCTATAATATTCAAAAATCTTGTAATAAAAATTAAAACATTTATGTTTTATTTTAAAAAGTAATTTTTTGAAAATAATTTTAATGGATTAATGAGATTTTTACGATTAAAATGGCATCAAATACGATATAATTCGAATAATTTTTACTTGGATAAAGAAAAAAACTTTTTATCTAATTTTTAGATTTGTATCTAATTAAAATTTATTCGAATAATGTGGCGTTTTTTTGTCATTTCATTTCCAAAAATCTTATTAATCAAACAAAATTACGTTCAAAAATATAAGAAATATAAGAATTTTATCAAAGTTTTTATATATATTCAATAAATACGCTCTGTTTGACATTATTTTCGCTCCGAAGCGTTTAATGGATAAATGAGGGCGAAAAATCTTTTTCTTCGAGCGAAAATGGCTTTAATCGGAGAGTATTTATATTGTCATGTGTTTATTTTCAAAAGACTTGTAGTATTAATTATGTTATTGTTCTAATTACTTATGTTTATATAAATTTGTATATATATAATCGCTTTTAATGTGCATCGGTGCACATTAGTGCATTCAACTAATTTTATAAATTAAAAATTAATTAAATAATATAATTAATAATTAATTAGTTAATTATAAAAAGCTATATGTATATAAATTAAAAGCATAATTTGATATTGCTTAAAATGCTTGATAATTTTGTTTCGAAAATAAGAAAAAAGTGAAAGCAATTTATTGTAAATATCTTCTATACGTTATATTTAAAAATTAGAAAAAAAAATTATTAAAAGAATTGATTAAAGAAAATTTATTTTTTACTTATGCGTGTATTATACATAAAAATACTTCAATAATAACTTATTATCGCTGGCTGTAGTATATACTAAAATGACAAAACATCAACTAATAAAACGCGTGCAACTAATAAAACATTAATAAATTTATAATATTTCTTTGCATTTTTGATCCACAATTATGGATTTAGCACGGACACGCACCAACCGGCTGTTTTACCGTGGCACCGAAAAGTGAACCTGGCCATGTAATTCCGCCGGCTCTAAAATGAATCCAGTTGGCGCTACTGCATTAGCTAGAAAAAGCGTCTGCCAAAAAACGACGGCGTGGACCCTCTCAGGCGTCTCTCTGATACTTATTACGTTTATGGGTAATTATAACCTGTCGCATTTCAAATAATTTTTCGCGCAAGCAGATTATCTGTAATAAATGTTAAACCGTCTCGTTCGCCTCGCATATTATTTCAAGTTGTTACGTTACGTTTCAAACGACCGTTAATAAACGCAGAACTCGAGTCAGTTACGAAGAAATATGAGAGAAATATTCTCGGAATATTAATAGTCATAACGCACAAAAAACCAGCTGGCATTAGGTAATCTATACATCCGCTTTCTAAAATGACTAATACATATTTTTTTACATTTGCGTCCATAAGTTTGTACGCGAATTAAAAAAATGTATATATATATATCTATAATCTACAACAATCATTATGCTTTCATATGACAAAATATGTGCGATCCCTCTTTATTTACAGAAATACAAAGATTGATTTTTGTCACTGAAATATTTCCTCGTATCGCGAAATGAAATCTACCGAACGTGACGATTTACGATAGAGGCGAAAGAATAAAGATCGGGAGAAAGATGTGCGATACGTTTATTAATACCAATGCGGAAAAAGCCGTATCCTCTTAATCACGTACCGGTGGGAATTGGCAAGAAGAAAAGGAGAAAAAAAGACGTAAGAATAAGGATGAGCAATCGGGCGTGATTCAGCGGTCGACGATGCACGGACCCGAAAGCAACTTGATCGAGAGTGGCTGAGCTGTACGGCTTTTAATTCCGGGAATTCATATTTCGCCAATCGAGTCCTCGGTCGCCGCGTGCTTGCCTGGCGAGGCCCGACCCTCAGCCTCGCTCGTGATTTCGTTTCATTTACATCGACGACGATGGCTAGATCGAAAGATCGCTTCGACGTAACGGTATGTTTTATTACTCGATATTACGCACGTTGTGACAAGATTATATCGCGAACGAGAAAACTAATTGGAAACGATCGATTTCGCGTAGATAATCAAATAATTGTCTAGATATTCGTAATAATAAGTGTAGAAAAAAAAAATGCGGTTTATATGCAAAAAAAAATACAAGTGCAGCATGAATGGTGTAAACGAAGATTTGAGAAATTCCTGAAATTTTTGGAGTAATTAAATATATGTGGTGCCAAAAATGACAAACCGATTTTGACTTGACGCCGAATTTGTATATGTGCGTGGAAATGTGTTACGTTAATTTGAGTCTAATCCAGATAGAGAATTTCGAAAGTATCTTGTTAAATCTTGCGGTTTCGTTGGAGAAGATCCTATTTCCCAGTGTGGATGAGTCAGCCGATGGAGTTTGGTCGACGACGATTAACGGTGAGAATTCTTCTCTTCGATATCACACCTGATGAAACAAAATGGCAACGACGAATTACGAAATTGTGAAAGAAAAGCGCAAAATCTATCGAGCGATGAATCAAGATTCGGATACCGTATCGGCTGAAGCATCTGGCTCAAGATCGAGCTTGGAATCAGAATTGAGATCGAAACGTTACGATAATAAAAAGGTATCATCGAGCTACAAACAAACTCGTTTGACGCATAGAACGGATAACGCTGAAGTCGTAGAATGCGTAATCGTATCGGAGAGCAACGAAAAAAATGATGACTCCAACAATGAAGATGCCGATCACTTGGAGTCCGAACGAATCATGGTGCCATCCGGTGAATATCTAACCGGCGCTGAAATAATGACGAACTGCATCTTAAATTTATGTATCACGGCCGAGCGAGCGAGAAACATGTCTCGATGATTTCGGATTCGTCTTTCAGATCCGTCCGAATGGAATTCCAGCCACATAGCCTCGTGGATCTCGTGGTGCGGCCGGACATTTTCTATAAGACCGATCGCTGCGATATTTCCGTCGACCGGAAAGGAATTGCTGAAATTGTCCCTGCGAGATTGGCAGAATATCGGCGGCGAGACGGGAGGTCGCATTCTGGCGCGACACTTGGGCTATCTTCATCTACAAGCGACCGGCATATATACTCCCGATTTATTGCAAGAGGATGAGGATAATGCTGGTGAGTCGAGTTCGATATATATTAATAAATTCAAGAGTAAGTTTTCCTCTCCTATGTATTAGATTGAATCTTTCATTATCAATTACGTTAGTGTATCGCGGAAAATAGTGTATGCAAAAAATATTATACATATAAAGGAGGAGAAAGATATAAATAAATCTAACAATAAAATAATTCGTTCTATAAATCTAAATGATCTACGATAAAGCTTAGAAAAGGTTAATAGAGGTCTTGGAACCTGTCAGGATTGGATGGAGAGTGACCGGAAAAGGCTAACCGTTCCCCGAGGACCGATCCTGGTCCGACTCGAGCTTATCTAAAAGCTTTAACGATGGCTGCGATCTATTACAGATAAACGCGGTCCAGTAGAAAAGTAAATACCGATATCGTCGAGTGTGGATAGTTTCGTCGGAAATTTTCTTCACGTCGCGTGACCTGAAGGGAAAAAGCAAACTTGAAATAAAAGTGTGCCGAAATATCCGTGCATTTTCTCGATGTGAAGTTGAGACGATTGAAAAAGAAAATATCACAAGATTAAAGAGAATTGAGAGAATACACAGTTTAATGAAGACTGAATTACGAAAAGGCATTTCGGTGGGTGAAAATATTTTATAACAAAAACATTCCCGATTAAAAATATTTATATGATGATAATAATAATAAATGTATTCCGATATTTTTCGATATAGAATTGATCTCGATTGTGCGATACATAGATGAGGAAATTACGAGAAAATGAAACGAAGAAAAATTTCCTTTTGTCTATACTTGCTCCTTTTTATCGGAGCACAGATTTTTCGAGCACCCCTCTTTGGATGCGAAAGAAGAAAAGCGAAAAGTGAGAGGTAGCAGGAGTCGTGGCAGCGTAAGCCTCGGAGATATATCGTCCGTTTGAATAACGTTGCAGCTTTCTCTCTCTCTCTCTTTCTCTTTCTTTCTCTCTCTCTCTCTCTCTTTCTCTCTCTCGTTCTCTGTGTATGTGCGTCGGCCCATCTCACCCCGGGAGCAGCCGTTTATTAAACGAATCAGTGTTATCGCGGTGAGAGAGTCCTCATGAATAAACCATCGAGTGTTTAGGGTAGCGGAAAGGTGGTGCCACGAGGGGTTACGAGCTTGCCGCGACCCCGCGCTTTTACCCCTCTTTCTGCCCTCCTCCTTTTGGGGGCAAGCTCTAACGGGCTTGGGGGTGGTAAGCTCACCGCGGGGCGCGACTATATTGTTTTCGTGATGAGCGGCAAACATTCTCTGGATCTTCAACGTATACGGGATAATTTTACGCATCGTGCATCTCTGCCATATATCGCTGCATACAGCTCGTCTCGCGATACGTTCGGAATTTACGGCGTGCACACTTTGTATTGCATATATAACATGTATCATATGTATAATATCAATATATTCTCTAATGTGAATCCGTTCGAACTTGCCCTTCGAGCTCTCGGTGTGTCGTTTTTAACATAACTGTCAATATATTAAAATGGAACCTTTTACGTATATCTCGTTCTCGTATATTTCGTCGAATTTACATTTGTAATATATAAGCGATATATATTAAA